TCTAGGAGGTGGGTCAAAAAGTATCTTGCTGTGATTTATGTCAGAGTGTTCTGCCTATGTTTTCCTCTAAGAGTTTTATAGTGTCTGGCCTTATATTTAGGTCTTTAATCCATTTGAAGTTTATTTTTGTGTATGGTGTTAGGGAGTGTTCTAATTTCATTCTTTTACATGTAGCTGTCCAGTTTTCCCCGCACCACTTACTGAAGAGGCTGTCTTTTCTCCATTGTATATTCTTGCCTCCTTTATGAAAAATAAAGTGACCATATGTGCGTGGGTTTATCTCTGGGCTTTCTATCTTGTTCCATTGATTTACATTTCTGTTCTTCTGCCAGTACCATACTGTCTTGATTACTGTAGCTTTGTAGTATAGTCTGAAGTCAGGGAGCCTGATTCCTCCAGCTCTGTTTTTCTTTCTCAAGATTGCTTTGGCTATTCGGGGTCTTTTGTGTTTCCATACAGATTGTGAAATTTTTTGATTCTAGTTCTGTGAAAAATGCCATTGGTAGTTTGATAGGGATTGCATTGAATCTGTAGATTGCTTTGGGTAGTATAGTCATTTTCACAATATTGATTCTTCCAATCCAAGAACATGGTATATCTCTCCATCTGTTTGTATCATCTTTAATTTCTTTCATCAGTGTCTTATCATTTTCTGCATACAGGTCTTTTGTCTCCTTAGGTAGTTTTATTCCTAGGTATTTTATTCTTTTTGTTGCAGTGATAAATGGGAGTGTTCCTTAATTTCTCTTTCAGATTTTTCATCATTAGTGTATAGGAATGCAAGAGATTTCTGTGCATTAATTTTGTATCCTGCAACTTTACCAAATTCATTGATTAGCTCTAGTAGTTTTCTGGTAGCATCTTTAGGATTCTCTATGTATGGTATCCTGTCATCTGCAAACAGTGACAGTTTTACTTCTTCTTTTCCGATTTGGATTCCTTTTATTTCTTTTTCTTCTCTGATTGCTGTGGCTAAAACTTCCAAAACTATGTTGAATAATAGTGGTGAGAGTGGGCAGCCTTGTCTTTTTCCTGATCTTAGAGGAAATGCTTTCAGTTTTTCACCATTGAGAACGATGTTTGCTGTGGGTTTGTCATATATGGCCTTTATTATGTTGAGGGAGGTTCCCTCTCTGCCTACTTTCTGGAGGATTTTTATCATAAGTGGGTATTGAATTTTGTTGAAAGCTTTTTCTGCATCTATTGGAATGTTCTAGGATTTTTTTCTGTATGCTGAAGATATTTAATTTTCTAAATCATTATACGTGGACCACATGCCTTTCAGTTTGGAGCTGTAGAAAAAATTTTTTCAATCCAGAAAGGATTTTTGTTGGTTTCCTTTTTAGTTATACAGATTATTATCTCTGTTCTGTTTCTTCTGATTTCTTCTTCAAGAACTTCTATTATTTAAGCATTGGTTCTTAGTTTTCCTTTTTTTAAAATCATCTTTCATCATTTTCACTTTTTGTGGGTCTTTTTTCATTACCATTTTGGGAGAGCTTACCATCTTACTGTTTTGATTTTTTTGCAGTGTCAGTTTTACAGCCTAGAATTCTATTTTATTTTTTGCTATTTATTTTTCTTTCTTTGCATTCTTATTCTTCTGAGTTAGCTCCATGCTCATCTCCATCTGCCTGTTTTTTGTTTTTTGGACTGTTTTAATTTTATCTTTTCCCCATAATTTGTAGTATAACAATGAATGTGATATATTTTCTTTCTTGTGTGATTTAAATAAGATTAACTAAATGAGTGCTATAGATACACCAACTCTTTTCATCTACAGTCCTGAAAGTTGTTATATTAAGGTTGTCATTTGTCTTCATTTTGTCTTTAATCCTAAAGGACGCCACAGATGAACATTAGCTACTAGATGGTGAGAATTCCTCAGGCAAGCAGTGAACCACTGAACTCAGGCACCTTTTCTCAGTTATCTTCCCATTCCTAAGGACTGTCATTGTATTGATAGATACTCAGTAAATATTCAGTTATTGAATTAATAATTTCTTATTGTTCCTTTTATCACTGTTATCTGTTTTATGCTTGCTTGTACTGTTTCACTGTTTGCAACATTTTTAAAACTTAAAGTAGATTATATTCATTTTTACTCACTGGATTGAAAATAAAGAATTTCATCAGCCTTTTAAATATGTCCATCTTCTATATTTATTTGGTCTTAAGTTAGGTAGAAAGTAGTGATTCACATATCAAGCATCTACATTTGGGATGTTATTCCTTTGAATGTAAGTGTAAGATGTGAGTGTAGCATCACTCTTTAGTGATGTTCTTTAATGAGAAGTCCACTTTTAATACATCTAAAATGTCATGTCTCCCTAGCACACATTATAAATCAACTATACTTCAATTAAAAAAAATAATATATTATGTCTCTCTTTAAAACACAGTCCCGGTCCCATCTTCCAGTTACCAAGTTTATCCATTTCTCAGTATTTTGAATGTGTCCTTTTAACAATTATGGTATTAGTTGTGTTATTCTTGGCATTGTTTGTACTTTAGTATGACAGGATAAGCAATTTTATATCATCTCCCAAACCGTGCTGGTATTTTTGTATGCCAGCCTTTAGTTTTTATGATAGTTGATTTTATTCTTTTATTTTTTTCCTTCTGTGTAATTGGATGGCATAATGGGGTAAATTTATGACTCACATGCATTATATTTTTGGCTGGGAAATAACTTGCTTTATCAGTTATGTGCTTCCAGAATTCAGAGAATTTTTCACTGGAGTACGTGATGGTAAATCAGTGCTTGGCTGTGGGCCCAAATTTTTTATATGTATAGTCTCAACCAATGAGGGCTTTATAACCCTGACGTTGAGTGGTTTGTGCTTATGTAATTTTTTGAGCTTTCTTTTAATTGAATGATTTCCTCCTGTCTTATTTTCTCTTTTAGTACATAAACATAAAACTTATATTTTATAAAAGTGTCTTGTTTGACAGCAGAGTGTTTTTTTTTTTCGTTTTTGTTCTGTTTTCGGTTGGCTCTTCTCTGTCCTAATTTTAGCATTTTTACCTCCTCCATTTTTCTTTAACATTTTTGGCGGTACATCCTAAGTGTGTCATCTTTATTCATCACTGATTTAATTTTGTGTACTGTCACATAGCTTATTTTCTCTTCATAGTGCACAGGTTTAATTTTCTGTATAGAGTATCATCATGGGTTTTACTGCATGCATCTTTTTCTTTAAACTTTTGGTGTATCCATCTTTTTACTTATATCTCTTCTTCACAGACTAACCCCAGTTATAATATAGTACAGAATTTTTAATTAAAACCAACTGAACTTTAAAAGTGAGCAAGGGAGAAAAAAACCAAAGCATAGCAGTTATCGCATGGTCTCACTGTGTCTTTCTTGTTTAATTTGGAGTTACTTTGGATATATTCAAGACCCTTCCTCAGTGGCACACTTCCTACAGAAAGAGCCTGTGAACCACCTGTGATGTCTTTGTCATTTTCTTCGGTGCTTTGATACAGACCTTGGGATGATCTAGCAGAAAAGAAAGAGGTCTCCTGTTCTTAAAACCTGCTGTCTCAGATAAACAAGGTCCTACTGTATATAGCACAGGGAACTATATTCATTATTCTCTAATAAACCATAGTGGAAAAGAGTATGAAAAAGAATATATATATAACTGAATCACTTTGCTGTACACCAGAAACTAAAACAAGTTTGTGAATCAACTATACTTCAATAAAAAAATAAATAAATAAAAGCAATATTTAAAAAAAAAATAGGAAAACCTGCTTTCTCACAGTGGAGCCTGTTAATCACTGCCAAGAAGTTTAGTCAGGGACTTCCCTGGTGGTGCAGTGGTTAAGAATCCACCTGCCAATGCAGGGGACACGGGTTCGAGCCCTGGTCCAGGAAGCTCCCACATGCCATGGAGCAACTAAGCCTGTGCGCCCCAACTACTGAGCCTGCGCTCTAGAGTCTGTGAGCCACAACTACTGAGCCTGTATGCCACAACTGCTGAAGCCCGCGCACCTAGAGCCCATGATCCGCAACAAAGAGAAGCCACCTCGGTGAGAAGCCCGGGCACTGCAACAAAGAGTAGCGCCTGCTCGCTGCAACTAGAGAAAGCCTGCACGCAGCAATGAAGACCCAATACAGCCAAAAATAAATTAAAAAAAAAAAAGTTTAGGCAAATTTATGGTTAAATATGTGACGACTCCTGCTTTTTTTTTTAACCTGCCTGCTAAAAATCTCACATTTTGCCATATATGTAGTATTTTATATTTGAGATAGAGATTTGACTTTGGTAAAATAAAAAGATTAGATATCAGGGACTTCCCTCGTGGTCCAGTGGTAAAGAGTCTGCCTTCCAGTACAGGGGACGCAGGGCAACTAAGCCTGTGCGCCACAACTGCTGAGCTTGTGCGCCTCAACTTAGCCTGCATGCTGCAAACTACAGAGCCCACGTGCTCTGGAGCCCACGCGACAACGAGAGAGCAAAACTAGAGAGAAGCCTGTGCATCGCAAGGAAGAGCCCATGCACCTCAAGGAAGGGCCCGCACGCCACAATGAACACCTCAACAAAAGATCCCACATGGCTCAATGAAGACCCGACGCAGCCAAATAAATAAATAAATATTAAAAAAAGATTAAATATCAGTATTGAGCATCATTTGTCTTTGTATATAGTATTTTTAGATTTTTTTCATGTGTATTTCTATATAGGTTTATTCTTGGTTACTGTGTGAAATGTCTACATTTTATCTTAATTTTTTTTCTTATAATCTTGCCTACATTTTAATAATTAATATGGCACTTGTTAAAATAGCTTCTGGAAAAGTTTAATGTGCTACAGCATGCTGATAAAAAGAGGCATGGCATTTGCTGATATCATTTAGCAACCCCTAGCAACTTAAGAGATATAAAAAAGTAGCCCGAAATATGTACTAATAATGGATTTTATTAAAATAGCTAGGGTGTTTTCAATATAATTTTAAAGGTTTTTTGTTGTTCTTCCATTATTTTTATTCAGATGATGGAAAATAATTTTTGGTTGAAGAAGATAGAAATTAGTGTTTCAGAAGCAGAAAAGCGAACTGGGAGGAATGCCATGAACATGCAAGAAACATATACTGCTTACCTCATTGAAACAAGGTGAGTGATGAGAATTAGGCCTAGGTTTAGATAGAAAAAGCTTTGGTAGCTGTTGATGCAAATTCTGTTGTATAATGGAATTGTTTACAGGTCATTGTCTTTTTAGGGATTTTTGCTGTTTTACTTTTTAACAGGTTAACAGGTGTGTCTTTTACTCTGGTACTCTTAGTAGCTAAGTTCTAATGTACTTGTTTTGGAGGGAGAGGGAAGGTTATTGGAATACTTTTGGGATCTGGAATGTTACTTGACACATGCTTTAGTGGAGTTCTTGTTGTTAGATACAACCCTTTTGTGGTTTGGGGAAAAGATACCAGGTTCTCAGAGGTGTATGAAGTATTAAGCGGACTTAAGTAAGTGGAGATGGTTAACAAAGAAGTCTAGGAGGAGAGAATACAGTCTAAGTCAGTTTAGGAGAGTTGGGAGTTACAGAGAAATTAAAATCCCCCCTTTGCCCCTGCCAGCTGTGCAGCATGCAGGAGGACCTTAGTTCCCTGACCAGGGATGGAACCCATGACCCCTGCAGTGGAAGCATGGAGGCCTAACCACTGGACTCCCAAGGAATTCCCCATTTTTAATCTTTTTTTTTTTTTTTTTTTGGGGAGAAATTAAAGTCAGTTAAAAATTGATTGAGACTGGAGCTTTAGACCTTGGGGTAAAATTAAAAAGATAAAATAAATCATGGTGTAATCGAAAAAAAAAAGAGGAAGAAGATAAAGTAGCTCATGGTGTAATCACAACTCACCAGAAAACTCTTACCTCATAAGGAAGAAGTTAAAGGAATCAGATTGTTTTGTCTAGAGCAAAGCAAGGGAAGACTCAATTTATTTTGCCAATTATAAACAGTTTATGTAAAGACTATACTGACAAGGTCTTTTCTCTCTGTGGACCGAGCAGAAATACTTTCAATTAAAGCAAGTAGAGGGGGGTCTTGCCTGGTGGTGCAGTGGTTAAGAATCCACCTGCCGGTGCAGGAGACATGGGTTCGAGCCCTGGTTCGGGAAGATCCCACACGCCGCAGAGCGGCTGGACCCATGTGCCATAACTACTGAGCCTGTGCTCTAGAGCCTGCGAGCCACAACTACTGAGCCTGTGTGCCACAACTCCCGAAGCCCGCATGCCTGGAGCCCGTGCTCCACAGCAAAGAGAAGCCACCACAATGAGAAGCCTGCGCACCGCGATGAAGAGTAGCCCCCGCTCGCCTCAACTAAAGAAAGCCTGTGTGCAGCAATGAAGACCCAACACAGCCAAAAATAAATAAATAAATAAATCTATTTAAATAAATAAATAAAACAAGTAGAGGGACTTCCCTGGCAGTCCAGTGGTTAAGACTCCCTGCTTCTGGTGCAGGGGGTGTGGGTTTGAACCCTGGTCAGGGAACTAAGATCCTGCATGCTGTGTGGCACAGCAGGAAAAAATAAATAAATAAATAAAACAAGTGGATATGAGAGAACTTTCTGATAACTTCTAAAATAAAACAATAGAACTACCAGACCTAGTTGATAAAGTGTTACAACCATGTTTTAATATGAATACATTAAAAGTTTTTTTTAGTCATTTTCATTGGCTTTACCACACCGTCACCAAACTAGCCTTGGGGCTGAACCCTGTGCCATTTTCAGGGTTTTCTCCAGGTCTGTGGTTCTACCCAAAATGAAAGTTAAAATCATGGTGAAGGTTATTTAGTTTACAAATAATTCTGATAATCCTTTCTTTAACTATAGTCTTCCTTCTTACACACACACATACATACACACACAACAAGCAAAGAAAACAAAACAAGAAAAGAAAAAAAGAATCTTCCAAAAAGAAGAGAAAATTTGTGTACGATAGGAATTTGGGGAAAAGAGCTAAGGTGGGTCTTTTAAAAAATAGGTTGTTTTGGGGCATGCATATATACATGTATGTATCAGAGAGATTTTTTAAGGTAATTAAAAAAAATTATGGTCCCATGAGAGAGTTTTTTTTTTAAGTTAAATTAGCCACTTTAAAAAATCATACTTTAGGGGACTGCCCTGGTGGTCTAGTGGCTAACACTCTGAGCTCCCAATGCAGGGGGCCCAGGTTTGATCCCTGGTCAGAGACCTAGATCCCACAGTCATGCTGCAACTAAGAGTTTGCATGCCACAACTAAAGATTCTGCATGCCGCAACTAAAGAGCCTGCATGCCGCAACTAAGGCCCAGTGCAGCCTAAATAAATCAATCAGTCAATCATACTTTAGAAATTCGTGGCTCTAACTTTCTAAGTAAATTCTTAAATTTAAAACTGTAAAGGATATTTTTATTTTATTCTATTTTATTTATTTATTTGGTTGCCCCGGGTCTCTTAGTTGCGGCAGGCAGGCTCCTTAGTTGCGGGAAGCAGGCTCCTTAGTTGCGGCTTGTGGGCTTCTTAGTTGTGGCTCGCTGAAAAAGGACATTTTTAGTATGTGCCTATTTCTTCACCCAATTGAACAATGAAATTAGCTGCTGACTAGTTTTACTGCTGGAAGAGACTTGATTTGAATAATCTGGAATGATTTATAGTTTACTCTTGACTGAAATGAATAGAGTATTATAATTTGAAACTTGGAGTTAGAAGTGACCATACATGAGTAATATAGCTAGACACTGGATAAATATTTAAGTGGATCATCAGTAAATGTGTGGTGCACAAAAGGATTATTGAGTTGACTTTCACAATTGTATTTCATTTATTTTAAAACAGTGATTCTCAAACTTTAAAATGTATAGGAATCACTTGGAAATTTTGTTAAGCTGCAGAGTTTTGGGTGGGGTCCAGGAATTGACACATTTTAAGCAAAATTCCAGGTGTTTTTGAAGCAGATGGACCATAGTTTTATCAAGTATAAAGGCTTTACATTTTAAGATAGTTAAATTTATCTTTTTTCTTTTATGATTTGTGTTTTCCCTCTCTTAAATTCTCGCCTACCCCACATCATGTACATATCCACTTTGAGAAACACTGCTTTTAGATAGATTATTTTGAAAGTACTGTACCCCTAAGGCTAACTTTCCTTCAACAACCACAGAACCCTGGAATTTATTAATTTAATCATGTAGGATTCTTGCTGTAATTCAGTATTATTCAGATAGTCTTGGACAATATGAGTAGTATTGAGCCTTGATATTGACTAAAAGTTGAACTTTAACATATAGCTTATCTACCTACTCTTTGGACACAAGTAGAAAGTCCATTTAGCAATTGCCTATAGTGTTACAGTTTAATAGGCTAAGAATGAATAAGGCTAAAGTCATTGATTTTAATTTCTCCAGAGGTTTTTATGCTTTCCTGTTCATAGAGTATGAACCCTTTTAAAATAAAGTATACTGTACATAGTAATAGGTAAGAATTCCTCGTTGTCTTGGGAGGCTATATGATGTCTTCATTTAATTCCTCTAATTTGTAAAACAGGGCTGATGATCCTATCTACTTTATTGTGAGGGTTAAATTAAATGTTGCATGTAAAACCAGTTATGTGCTATTAAGTATTTGTTAAATGATTGGATAAATGGGGTAGTTTTGTGGTCCAAAGAAAGTCTTCCCTATGCTTTTAGGTGGTTTCCAGTTGTTAGACCCTGCCTTTTGTGGCCTTTAAAACAAAACAAAAAACAAAATCAACTTGTAAAAGATCTTCTAGCAGCCTTTAGGTGTACTGCTTATAGGCTATATTTATTTGCTTATTAGCAAGATGTGGGTTCTGTTGGTCATGATTTTAAATAATTTGAAACTTGATATTAACCTAAGATATTTTTTCAGCTGAAGTTGAAAATCTGAATTAGAATAGTATTAGTCATAGCTAATGGTTAGGTCAACTCTTTAAAATGAATTATGATTTAATAATCCTATATCTTTGCCATGGGAGCCATTTGTACATTTTGAATTTCATATTATGCTTCCTTTTCTGTTTCCTTTCTATTATGTTTCCTTTTCTAATATATAATGCAATGAATAAATTTAGTGGCAAACTTAATATAAAAATTATTTTTTAATTATAATAAATAATTTTATTTATTTATTATTAAAATGCTTGTGTTGAGCATGACACAGTATATATATCTTTTCAAGACTTTACTTTATTCTAAGACTGATTTAACCCCTGTGCCTTTATGCCATAACGTACAGATGCACACTTTGGTTATATGCGTGTTTCTTGGAGGGCCTATAAGTTATTTTCAAGCAAACAATTAGAAAATGGGAAGGTTCTGATAATGTTTAGAAGACTAATGTTTTCTAACGGTGATTATGCTAGCAGAAATTGTAAATAGTCAAAATAATTTCAAATATTCTTTATATGATTTTACCCAGCTTTCCCCCAACTTGAACTTTTATATGGATGAGACATGGCATTGCCTGCAGCTCTTTATATTAAAGATAAGACTAGAATTGAATTTTTACATCCCTTCTCCCCACTGCTTCAGAGTTAATTGACATTTTGCTTTTGTGGGTTTTTTCAGGTACTTGGATGCATCTGATTCATTTATAATGTTGAATCGAGGGTTTTTTTGGTGCCATCGTCTTTGGCATGAATATTATTCCCTCATTGTGGCAGGAGTTGTTCTCTCATTGTGGCAGTGAAAAATACTTTTTCTTTAATGAAACACTGGCTAAGCCAGACTTTACTATATTGGAAAGCCAGCTGTTATACATTAACCAAATTATTTTATATTGAGGCTTTTAGAATGTTCCTAATATGACTATTTCTCTTGAGTTCAAATAGGTTTTCTATAACAGAAGAAAGTGGTTAGGAGTGAAAGCTTGGGAATCAGATGGATCTGAGTGCTCTACCCACAGACCTTTGTGATTGTAGGAAGAGCATATACTGTGCAGCTGCTTCCTCATCTGTGAAATGGGGACAGTAATCTCTGCTTCACCAGGTTTGTTGTAGGGATTAAATAATACATGAAAAATTCTCTACTCAGTGTCTGGTTCATTCAGTAAATGGAGTTATCAGTTTTAAAGGAATGGAGTTATCAGTTTTAAAGGAGGTCGTGTGCATGCATTTGTATTTCTAAAAAGCACTAGAAATCTTATTCTGTCTTTTTCAGGTCAGTTGAACATATTGATGGTCAGAGTGTCCTAACAGACTCACTATGGAGGCGGTATAGTGAATTTGAGTTGTTGAGAAACTACCTTTTAGTTTACTATCCGCATATTGTTGTGCCACCTTTACCAGAAAAAAGGGTAAGAAGTGAAATGGCAGTATAGTTCAGAAGTATTTAGCATTGAGACTATTCTTCATGGTTGTTTTGTTTATCTAGGCAGAATTTGTTTGGCATAAACTCTCTGCTGACAACATGGACCCGGATTTTGTGGAAAGACGTCGAATTGGTTTAGAAAACTTCCTCTTGAGAGTTGCTTCACATCCCATCCTTTGTAGAGACAAAATCTTCTATTTGTTTTTAACACAGGTATTTTTCTTTTATTTAGTCTTCTAAAAAAATTCATTTGACTTGGGATCTTTTAAATTTTAAATTGTGGAATGCTTATTCTTAAGGATCCTTTTGGAGCAGCTTTGTTAATTTATATGCATTTCGTGGTTTGTTCTGTTTTGAATTTCCAAAGTAAATTACATCATTCTTTTGGCTGACATTTTTATACTTAAAGATACTAAAGATGGTACTTTTTGGTATCACTTAAATGGTATCAGAATTAGCCTTTAGTTTTTTGAAGCCCAGGTCTATAAAATCTTGAGTCCATCTTTGGTAATCTTTTGGAAACTGGATTGTATGTTTAATTTTGCAGTGAAAGGAATTCTTTTTTAACCTTTCTCTCCCATCTCCCCTGAAAGAAGAACAGAACGATAGATATTTAATTTGGAATATTCCTTACGGGCTATTTTGCAATGATATCTAAAATTAACTTTAATTTTTAGGAAGGTAACTGGAAGGAGACTGTGAATGAAACCGGATTTCAGCTGAAGGTAAGGATAATTGCATGAAATAATTTGTTACATTCCTTTACAGTTCCTAGCACAGTGCCATGCACTTAATGGGTACTTGCTGTTTATTGAATGAGCGAATGTTGGAAATTGGCCTTGCATCTAATATCATTGGTAAAGTTTTTAAAGAAACAATGCAGTGTATTTTTGATTGGTGTAATTTTTGTTAATAGTGAGACTATAATGGGCATATTTATGAGTTTAGTTCTATTGGGAAAGAAGATTTTGAAGCAGTAATTTAGATACAGGCTATAGATTTTTCCGACAGTTTAGTCATATTATACATTGTATATTTTTTTCTTCCCTCTGTCCTTATCACTGCCACTATCGGTGGTGCCCCCAAAATTGCTCACTCTATTAAATAGGAAAGACACTTCTGAAGAATTGATCTTGGGTTTTCCAGTCTTAGCAGACTAGAAGATGAACCATCAGTCATGCTTCTTCTGTCTACTGGGACATGGCCAGTTTTGAGTGGGCATAGGATTCATTTTGTATTAGCATCTGTTAGTAATACAGGCCTAATTAGATTTTGACCACTTTTCATACTCGGTCATTAGAATTAGTGTCTGGGAATGGAACTGTTATCTAAAAATTAAAGAGCATGTTGGTCATAAGATGGCCACCCTAACTCCAGTCTGCTCTCCCTCTTGTTCCCAAAAGTAATTTAACACTGGTGCTTGCAGATTTTTTAAAGTTTTCATCTCTTGTGTAAACTGAATAGGTAAGAAGAAAAAGTAATATAAATTGATATAATATATAAATTGATAAACAATTCACATGATAATGCAGTAACAAAATTCAGTAGGTCTAGGCGACAAGAACAAAATGTCTTTACAGTAATTTTAAGAACACCCCCTAGAGATTTATGCATTGGTATGTAGGTATTTTAATTTTAACATAAAAAGACAAGAGAAAATTTTTTGTCTGCACAGAAAATATAATCAAGTATCTAATTCTGTCATAAACCAATTTTAACTTATAAATATATTGTTGGCAGATAACATGAAAAAATTAGTATTTTCTTGGCTATAATTCATTATGGTGCTCAGAGAGAATGCTGGAATTTTGGTTTAGAGATGGTTTGAAATAACTCTAAACTTTAAAAAATTATTTATATTTTGATAGAATTTTCTGAGAACTAGTCCAAGATTTCTTAGGAGCCAGTAATAAAGAAAAGAGCAAACTAAAATATATTTTTTTTAGTGATATCTCTTTATATAAAAAGAAAATTTAAAAAATTTTCGTCGTTGATTTAGTCATTAGTTTAGCAACTAGTTATCAGTTGTTTGTCCTTAACTCAGTTTTTGGCCATAACTTGGGTGGCCTTGAGAAAACTCCTAAATTTCTCCATCCATATAGACTATGCTCTTTACAGAGTGCTTTGAATCTTGTGTGTAGGTGCTATTTAAGTGTTTAGATACAATGTTTTGTATTTGGGTAGCCTTACGGTGAAATCTTAGTTTCACTTTCATAAAATCTTTGAAAGGTAATACTCTGTACACAATAATTTGAAAAGTCAGAATTTAAATGAAATGGACCAGACATAAAATGTATGGGGAGAATTTGGAGACCCATGCAAGGAATTGGGACTTATTTTTAAAGAAGCAGGGTTTTTTAAAAAAATATTTATTTATTTATTTATTTGGTTGTGCTGGGTCTTAGTTGCGGCACATGGGCTCCTTAGTTGTGGCCCGTGGGCTCCTTAGTTGTGTCTCACGGGCTCCTCAGTTGCGGCTCGCCGGCCCCTTAGTTGTGTCATGTGAACTCTTAGTTGTGGCGTGCATGTGGGATCTAGTTCCCTGACCAGGGAATAAACCTGTGCCCCCTGCGTTGGGAGCATGGAGTCTTAACCACTGTGCCACCAGGGAAGTGAAATGGGACCTTTTAGGACTACACATACACACACGTATGTGCATGCATACATACAAACGTATGTGAGGTTGTCCGAGAGATAGAGAGAGAAAGACATACAATTCACTTATCTGGAGGTCATGTATTTGGCAGTTACAACTAACCCAATCACAGTTGAAAGGGGGTATTTAGAACTGACTTCTGAGATGTTCAAATGGATGTAACATAACTTACTATAGTACTTACAGATATACTTTGGTCCTTTCAGATAGTACCCACTTAATTTTTTTTTTTTTTTTTTTGCCGTACACGGGCCTCTCACTGCTGTGGCCTCTCCCACTGTGGAGCACAGGCTCCAGACGCACAGGCTCAGCGGCCATGGCTCACGGGCCCAGCTGCTCCACTGCATGCGGGATCCTCCCAGACCGGGGCACGAACCCGTGTCCCCTGCATCGGCAGGCGGACTCTCAACCACTGCGCCACCAGGGAAGCCCCCCACTTAATTTTATTATAGTTATTCAAATAAACTTGGCTATCTGTTTTCTAGGCTACAGCATATTAGAAGAAAATTTAAGAGGTCTAAAAGTGAATACTGCTGGAGACAGGCACACTGTTACAATAATGAAATTGACAGCTGAGCCTGCTAGTAAAGGATAACAGTGATCTGAGAGTCAGACACTGCAGTATGGAGGCCTCTGGCATGGGGCCAAATCACCACACACCTATGTAACCCCTAGGGCTTCATTGTGTCACAGGTGGATTCAGTATTAGTTGTTTATAGTGGTTACCTTGAGGCTTCAAGGAAAGGTTGAATTGCTGGCTGAGTACTCATAATTCAGCGTTCCTTTCTTCTTTTTTTTAGCGTGGAACTAGTTTTTTGATTAAAAAATTTTTTTTTAATTCAGTGTTTCTTAAAATGTGGTCAGTTGGCTTCATGAGTCTCAATTTGCTGGGATTGTTTGTTCAAAATACTGAATCCTAGAGTTCATTCCAGACATATTGATTCCCACGAGCCTAAAACTTAAGAACCATTGCTGTAAGATGACAGATAAGAATATTTTTAGGGAAGATAATTTTAGAAGATTATCAAAATTGGTAAGAAAACGAAAAAAAAGAAAAAAAAAGTTAGAACCTAAAGCAGTATCTTATCTGAATATCATTAACATTAAATGTTTACTATGTGCTTAAGCACTGTACTCTAATACACGGTCATGTTTTTTTGCTGACAGTTGCCTCAGTACCTTTGAGGTTAGTTTAATATTATTCCAGTTTTTTAGATGAGGAACTCGAGAAAGTGACCTAATGGTGGTATAATGTTGATTGTTGTCAATTATTGTTTCAATTTGATCGCTGTCTACTTGAACTGGTCTACCCGACCGTGGAGCACTGTCCAGCAAGAAATCTCCAGCACACAACTTCACAAACCACTTTTGACATGTTCGATTAGTCACAGCACCTTCTCCATACACTGCACAAAACTTTCTGTGCGTTTCAGTTGCGTTTTTACCTTTCTTGAAATAATAAAGCATAATATGCCGAAAATGCTTTTTTCTTCCATCTTCAGTATTAAAATTGCTACACAAAAATTCACCAGTTTTGTTAAGTCTTTTTTTAAATGCTTGCTGATATGACAGCTGTCACATACAGTCTAACAAAATTGTTTCGAATAAAGACAGCTAAGTGCTACTAGAGCCATCTTACGGAAAAGACCGAACAAAACTTTTGGCCCACCCAATACTTTATTATTTATTTATTTATTTTAAAAAATCATATGGTATTTGTCTGTTTTCAGTTCCCTCTTTTTAAAAAAATTAATTAATTTTATTTTTGGCTGCGTTGGGTCTTTGTTGCTGTGCGCAGGCTTTCTCTAATTGCGGCAAGCAGGGGCTACTCTTTGTTGCAGTGTGAGGGCTTCTCATTGTGGTGGCTTCTCTTTGTCGCACAGAATGGGCTTTAGGCATGCAGGCTTCAGTAGTTGTGGCTCGCGGGCTCAGTGGTTGTCGCTCGTCGGGCTCTAGAGCACAGGCTCAGTAGTTGTGGCACACAGGCTTAGTTGCTCTGTGGCATGTGGGATCTTCCCGGACCAGGGCTCGAACCCATGTCTCCTGCATTGGCAGGCGGATTTTTAATCACTGTGCCACCAGGGAAGTCCTCCACCCAATACTTTAGTTTAAAGTAATATCATTTTAACTCAGTTCTCTCAGTAAGTTACTTACATGAAAGTAAGTGTCATCCATATGCCCAAACCTTAAATGATTTTAGGCTGACTCAGAAGAATCCAGAACCCTGTCTGTTGCTTGGAGCAGGGACTGCCAGAGAGATCTGGGCCTTTAGGATCTCTGCTAATCCTGGAGATTCCAAATGCTGGGTGCCTACAGACTGTCAGGTACCCTTCTAGGTGCTGTGGATACAACAGCGAATACGCTGGAAACATTCATTATCCCCATGTTCTTATGGAGTTTGTATTGTAAGTAGTTGGAGACTTTAAGTTAACATTTATTTAAGATACTTTGAAAGTTATAGGTGATATAAAGTGAAACAATCATTACTGTGAGAGATTATGACAGCAGGGATTTTTTTCTAGGGGTTATTTTGAGATAGGTGACAATAAAATTTATTGTTCAAATGGGGACACTTTTGAGAATAAAAAGGGGGTCTGCTAATAATTAGATTAGGGACAACAGGTGTAAGCCAGGACTGTGCTGGGCAAACTGCATCACATGGTTGAAGAGAGAACATTTGAGCTGAGACCTGAATAGTGAGGAACCTGCAGTGGAGTCAACCTAGCGGGTAAAGGAAGAATGTTAGAGAGAGGGCAAGCTGGTAATGGTTTACTAGGCAAGGTTTGGGGGAAGAACCTGAAAATGAAATAAAGGAAAGACAAGGTCTAGGACAAGGAAAGTAAAGTATGTAATAGTAATTGGAAAGGGAAGGAGAGGTGGGGATTAAAGAACATGGGAAAGGAGGTTAAGTTGGGGCTGTAGAATAGTCGGGGTTATTTTTTTCATTCAGCCAATACTTATTGCATGTTTTTCTTGTGCCAGGCATTGGGAGGCATTGGGGATACAGGAATGAACAAAGAAGATTAAAGTATTGCCGTGGCAGCCATTGTGCAACTCTAGGAGCCCCATTCACATTGTGCTTTTCTTGTGGCTCTTATATTCTAGTGGACAGCTAGGAAACAAGAAAACAACTCAGCGGATTTCAGATAGTGCTGTATTAAAGGAGATAAAGTAGGGTGGTATGAAACAATTATATAAGGGCTTCTTTAGATATTTAGTGGGGAACCTGATAAGATGGATGAATGGTAACCGTCAGATTTGGAACAGCCTAGGTAGGTGTTTAGAGATCTAGCTTTGGGGAGAAGTTTCTGATTTGATGACATTTTAAGCAATTTCTCTTATTATGGAATCTTGTGAAATGATGAGCAGGTTGAGTGCGGTGTTATGATGGACTGACCTGACAGAATGCTTGGTAAGCAAAGGTTAGGATGGTGATGGTTTACATTTTATATGCCTTCTATAGTGGTAAGATGGTAATATTAAAAGTAAAAAATAAATTAATTGGTAGTATTAAGTATGAGATTCAGAAAAAGATACACATGAAAATTTTCTTTTTTACTGATGGTTTTTATGTAATTTCATCCTTATTTAAAGAATCTCATTTGCATGTGACTATAAAGTCATTAACACGTTGATGTTTAGTGATTTGAATTCACTTAAAGAACATAAGGGAGTAATATATGCCTTAAATTCATAGTTGCTTTAATTGTAAGGACTTTCACATGCATTAGCTCCTTTGCCCTTGAGATGTAAGAAAGGTCAAGAATTGATAAAATACCCATTTTAGAAATAAGAGAATCCCCTGAATTCAATGACAAATTAAGCTTTAGATATTCTTGATAGCTCTTTGAATTGCTTTTGGTCTGAAGGTTTAGGAGGCTGGGTTTATGGAGTGGTGTATTTGTTGCATTTGTTTTTATTTCTTCAGCCATGTAATCTGGGGAGCCCTAGTAGTTTTGCTTTTGTTTGTTTATTATTTTGGGAGTATTTGTAATTAGGGCTTATAAGTTGGAATAATATAAAATATTCAAGCTGATTGGGATTTTCAAAACCAAACCACATCATGAAATTGATTACTGATTGAGCTACCTTTTATGAACCATATCATTTTTGTGCCTTGGTCAGAAAAAATATATATATATATATATTTATTTATAATTTTTTTATTTTAATGAGAACATATGATAAGAGGAGAGGATTTGGCTATATTAAGTATAAATTTATACAATGAAATTATTATTTCATGTTGATCCTTCTGTCTCTCCTTTGAGATAAGTTAGGGTAGAAATAAGTAAAGGTAGTTAAATAGTTGTGTTGAAATATCTAGAAATAAGTAAAGGTAGTTAAAAAGTTGTAACATTTCCTGCCAGCTAGAAAGGAATTAATTTGATGTCATCTAGCTTGGTTTTTTTTGGCCGCACCTCAAGCATGTGGGATCTTAGTTCCCTGACCAGGGATCAAACCTGTACCACCAGGGAAGTCCTCATCTAGCTAGTTTTAATTTAGTACAGGCGTTTCCATATTTCTTTATTTTCTAAAATACTGATTATGAAAATGAGAAAAACCAATGTACATTTGGTTTACATTCCACCTGAGAACGAATCTCAGTAATGCACAGGCTTCAAAGCAGTAGTTTTATTTAGTTTATATGTATAGATCATTGTTTTTCTTGATTTAGAGAAAAAGTAAACTACTTTTTTCACATGACCTATTTTGTTATAATAATGCAGAGCTATATGGTTGCTATTGTATTGGTGTTTACAGTTGTTTTACTTTGGTATTACTGATTGCCATGTGTTCAGTTTAATTTATAAATATTTTTGTAGTGTTTTAAAAAATAACTACTAAACTGTTTTTTGGGGTATGTTTAATGTGTTTGACACAAATGATACGAAGAAAACTGTACTTGAGCATCTTACTTCTAAAGGGAAAATAAAACTGTTTGGATTTAAACCCTGAAATGTAATTGTATTAAGTGAATAAATTATTTTTTCCAGGCAGACTCCAGGTTAAAAGCGCTTAATGCAACATTCAGAGTGAAAAACCCAGACAAGTAAGGTTTTGTTTTAATAACAGTTACAATGTTGTTTTGAATGGTGCCTATCAATCTATTTAATTTTTCATTTCTGAATGTATGCACTTTATTTGCTAAATATTTTAAATAGTAATTCACGTTAGTGAAATCCTTTTACAGTCTAAAACTGATTTTGAAATTTGGTAATTTAATTGGGATTAAGGTTGTAAGTAACTGAAGTTTTAGAAAATTAAACCACTGCTTTTTCCTAGAAGGATTTATTGAGTGTTGCTTAAGGTATCAGAAAAATGAGAAAAATAATTTAAATTTCATATAAAATAGTTTTTCTTATTAGACTTTGCTTGTCAGATATGTACAAAACTCAAGATAATATATTATTTATTTTAATAATAAACTATCTACTTTGAATAGCAAAAAAACTTGATAGTTGCATACTAGTATAATAATTTCGTGGAGATGTATTTATATGACAGTTACCTGACTTCATCAGTGCCACTTTGGTGTTTGTGAGAGCATTTCTACATTAAAGAAAACTGGTGTATTCAGAAATAACTTTCCTTAGGGTGGCATCTAAGTATTTAAGATTTGGTTTTGTTCATTCTCTGAATTTGGTGGATAATTCAGGCTCTTCATTATATGGACCTTTACCTGAAGCTTGCTTCAGCTATACTTTCCAGGTAGAAATGTGCTTAGGTAGATGAGGCTTTTCCATATTTGGTGACCAAGTTTATGAGGTCTGTTAGAATTTCTCTAGTCAGGCCTTCAGCGTTAACTTCTACATAGTGTAAATTCTTAGCAGACAAAGACCAAGTTTGCATAGTCTGATAGCCTATTGTGCTGGACTTTATAAACCATAACACATTAACATTGTGCCTCTGCTTTTTGGTATACATTTTGAATATAAAATATAAATAAATATTTTAAAGTTTGGTAATTAAGAAATTGTGATGGTAACCATTGAGGTTTTTATTTTATTTTTTTAATAGACTTTATTTCTTAGAGTAGTTTTAGGTTCCTAGCAAAATTAAGTGGAAAGTACAGAGCTCCCAGGTACCCTCTGCCCCTACACTTACACAGCTGCCCCTAGAGATACAGAGCCACCCCCATTATCCCTTACCAAGGTGGTACATTTGTTATGATTGATGAACCTACATTGACTCATTGTTACCCTCTCGAAGTCCATAGTTTACATTAGGGTTTACTCTTGGTGTTATATGTTACATGGGTTTTGACTAATGTATAATGACATGTAAGTGTCATTACAGTATCATAAAAAGTATTTTCACTGCCCTAAAAATCCTCTTTGCTCTGCCTATTTATCCTTCCCTCCCCATAGCCCTGGCAACCACTGATCTTTTTACTGTTCCCATAGTTTTGCCTTTTCCAGAATGTTGTATCATACAATACGGGGCATTCTCAGAAAGGCTTTTGCTTTGTAATATGCATTTAAGGTTCCGCTGCGGTTTTTATAAGGGCTATAATGACATCCATGGTATATGAGATGTTCTCTAGGTTAAGAACTAAATTATGTCACCCTCCAAAAAAAGCTTTGGAAAACCTAAGCAGCAAAGTTTATGACATTGGTGAATGTACATTCATTAGAGGAGCATGTAGATGAGACAGTTTTTAAATTAATATTTAATATTATTGTTTTGTCAGTTGAATGTTTTTTAATTTAATGAAAAATATTTTGTCAACTGAATGTTTGTCTTCCCTTTTCTGACCTACCAGCTTTTCTAGATTGCTAAATTTTGTTTAATATTCTACATTATATATAGAATTTTAAATGTGATATGACCAATAACATAAACAAGGCAGTTTTTTTGCTCCTAAGTTCTTGTTCAAGTATATAATTAATGTATAGTTAGTAATAGAATTTGTTTGCCTTAAGTTTTAGATAAGAGAATGATCTATATCAGTCATTGTTGTAACAGATTTTTAATATACAGAATCCCTGTTCTAGGCCTGTCTGGCCCAATAGATTAATTATTATTCACACCATTACTGAAATAGTTTATATCACTAAAATGCTTTAATTCCATTCTTTCTTAAAATGTAGAAAACCAGAAAGATTGTTTCAGAGGTTTCAAATGATACCTCTTCATGCTTGTTTATTTTTATTCAAACTAGACTGTTAAAAGCAGTGAGGAGGAGGACCTTGAGTCTCTACTTTTTGTGGCAATACTTGGCTAATATTTAGGAGGTAGACTGAGTGAGTGGTAGAAGTATGGGATGAAAGAGAGGAGAAGGAAATACAGGCGGCACCTAGGTTTCATTGTTTAAACTGCTAGGGAATAGAGGAGAGAGATTTGATGGGATAGGGGAAGATAAGTTGAGCTTTGGATATGTAAACAGGTACAAATGTCTGCTAGTTAGTTGGCTTCATAGATATGGCTTTTAGGAGAGATTTGGGCTGGAGTTATATATTTGGAGTTCAGCAGCATGTAGATCATAATTGTGAAGCATTGTGAATAAGTCACACAGAGTGTGTAGATTGAAAGATTGGTTGTAAAATGGTTGAGGACCTAGGGCTGAATCCTAAAGAAGCCAGTGCTTGAAGGGCGTTTTCCAAAGTGTAATCTGAGGATTGCCAGCATCTGAATCCTGTGAATGCGTTTCTTATAAATTCAGATTCCTGAATTTATTCCTGTGTACAGTTGTGGTGGTTACTCATGCCCTCTTTTACTGAGAGGCCCTCAGTAGTGCTCTTAGCAAACACTCCAGGAGTCCTTTGCAAAGGAGACTTTAGGAATGACCAGAGAGTAAAAGGAAAATCATGAGAAATTAACACTGATGTCAGGGAAACAAATTTTTGAGGAGGGTGAGGTCAGGTGTTACATTGCTGGAAGAACGGTGGTAATAGAAGTTTCAGGTCTTATGGAGAACGGCAGACATCAGATTATAGAAACAAAGATTACTGAGCAGCATGAAGATTGTTAGAGACAATGAGTTTATGGTTGCACCATAAGATTTTCTTAGCACCATAAATTTTTTCCTGTTTTTTTGTTTTCAAACTAACAAATATTATCTCTATCTCAGTTCCACAGTGTAAATTATGAAGTCTTTTCTTGGCTTTAAAAATATCTAGAGAAAATATGGTTATTTTGTTTTAGAACTTTCTGAGTTTGCATCGGTGTGTAAATGTTTAAGGCTAGCAAATAGTTAAATAGAATCAGTTTTATTATTCTCAGGAACTGCTATTTTGTCTTTCTGTTTTTGACTTTTCATGAGAAAAATGATGTTTTGTTTCCTGTTTCAGGAGATTTACAGAACTAAAACACTACAGTGATGAACTACAGTCTGTCATCTCACATCTCCTTCGAGTCAGAGCTGTAAGTGGTCCCCAAGAACTTTTTGACAGACATTAAAAAGGAAGTGCTTGGGCTTCCCTGGTGGCGCAGTGGTTGAGAGTCCGCCTACCGATGCAGGGGACACGGGTTTGTGCCCCAGTCTGGGAAGATCCCACATGCCACAGAGCGGCTGGACCCGTGAGCCATGGCCGCTGGGCCTGCGCGTCCGGAGCCTGTGCTCCGCGGCGGGAGATGCCACAGTGGTGAGAGGCCCACGTACCACAAAAAAAAAAAAAAAAAAAAAAAAGGAAGTGCTTCTCATTTAATGGTTATGTTTTTAAGTAATGGAAGATATTTATGATGAATAACTGATTTTTATATTCAAATTTGGTGTGTTCATCACCTAAATTGCATTTTTAAAAAAAATGTGAAATGTTTGCTGGCGTAAATAACTTGAAGAATTTTAGCCTATAGTTTTCTCTGTAGTCTGTATATGGTTGTTTTGACATCTTATCGAAGGGCCTACCATTTCACTGTTGGAATATAATTAAGTGTGGGATTTTAGATCTACATATAATATCTTATTCTTTCAAGGTTTTTGTTTTTTGTTTTTTTCTTTTTTGTGGCACACGGGCCTCTCACTGTTGTGGCCTCTCCTGTTGCGGAGCACAGGCTCCGGACTCGTAGGCTCAGCGGCCTGTCATTTTCTGTCATCACTGTTGTCTTTATAGCAACACTGACATTGTATTCGGTACTCATTTGTTAATTATCTCCTCTACTAGTGTATGTGAGCTCCCAAGAGGAGGAGTTTGTTTTCTCACTGTTAAATCCCTAGAATAATGCCTGACTCAGAGTAGGCACCCACTGCATATTCACTGAATGGATGAATAAATGGATGTATGTGCTTACAGTTTTATGTTTAAAAAATCTTAAAAAGCAGTAACATAAATTACTTCTTGAATTTAATTATAACCAGCCAGGGAGAACTGGTTAGTAATGTATATTTGACAAGAAATATGACCTTTAAAGAAAAATGACCTTGTCATCAGAGAGCTTACAATACACAAGTAAGAGAATTCTGGGTATTGATATATTTACCCTAAACTTTATGAAAACAGGCTTCAGAAACTTAATTGACATAAAAGACAGCTTGAGCTCTTCAAAGGAAAGGCAGCACTTGTTCTGTGAGTGAAATTGAAATTCTGACTGTATAAATGAGATAAATGCCAATGGAAAATACAGAATAGCTAAAATCTTGATTGTTCTAAAATTAGGAGAAAGGCTGTTTAGTCATAGACAGTGACGTAACAGTTAAAAATGGAAGGTTATAGCCCAACACTGACAGAAGCCTGCGAACAACACAGAAATCACCACAGTGAGGGCTTTTTTGTAGCATTCAGAGCGTCAGGAGAAGAAGGCTTAGACACTGTTTGATACAGATGATGAATTGTTAACAGACGAAGAGAAAACAGAATTATTTGGCTATCTTTTCTGACAAGGAGAATTCTTTTGAAAGTAGAAAAGGCAAAAAATAAATGACTAACAGGTTAAAGAGTTAATATTTAAGACGTCAAAACAGAACAACCAGAAAGGGCAGGTGGCCATAGACTGAGAGGAGCTGGATTTAGAACTTGTCTCTGGCATTTACCAGGTCCTTCAGGCAAATCCACTAACCTTTCAGAGTTTGTTTTCTTTGCTGGAAAATGGGAATATCTGCCTGGCACATAGTAGGTACTACGTAAATATTTGTTATATGAATGAGTGTGTTATTCGTAGAGTTGTGAGACTCAGATGAGATAATCTGTGTTTTGTAAACTAAGACAAAAGGAAAATAATGCTAATCTAATATTTATTTACTGTTGTATATCAGCCAAACATATTGTGTTATTCTTAACTAATTCCGATAGTAGCCCTTTGAAGGTAGGTGCTGTAACTGTCCCCATTTTATATATTAGGAAGCAGAGGCAAATGAATTAAGTAACTTGCCTCATATTATACTATAAATAGATATGATGAAGCCAGAATTTAAACCTTTGTCTGACTCCAGAACCCATGCTCTTAACCACCTACAAATGGTATATTGACAGAGGACGTGAATTCAGGTAGATTGAGGGAGAAGAGAATTGATTTTCATTGAGCCACCTTGCTTATTGCCAGGTACCTTACAAATGTCATCTTCTTTAATCCTCAGTCATATGATGAGGTTCATTTCCACATTTCCAAGAGAATGATATAATACTAAGGCTAAGAGTAGTTTAATAAATTCTCAAAAGTCAAACCCTAAAGTAAGAAGGAGCTGGATTTTTTTTTTAATATTTATTTATTTATTTTGGCTGCACTGGGTCTTAGTTGCAGCACTGGATCTTCGTTGCGGCACGTGGAATCTTTTGTTGTGGCATGCCGGCTCTTTGTTGTGGCTCATGGGCTTCTTTCTATGTGTGGTCCCTTGGCATGTGGGATCTTAGTTCCCTGACCTGGGATTGAACCTACGTCCCCTGCATTGGAAGGCATATTCTTAACCACTGGACCACCAGGGAAGTCCCAGGGGCTGGAATTTGAATCCACATTTGTCTTACTCCAAATCCCTTACTTCCTACAACCATATTTGCTGCCTCTCTAGGGGAAATCTAATTTAAAAGGGAGGGAGGAATGTTTAACTTTGCTAATACTCTAAAAATGTAAATTGAAATTATTGAGGCACTATTTAACATTTAATTTGTAGTCATATATAAAGATGGTAATACCTAGTGTTTGTGAAATATTTGGTGACAGTGGCACTGTGTAAAGTATTACATACAGTTCCTTTGGGAAAGATTTTGGCAGTAGTATCAGGAGTCCTAAATCTCATAATCATTGCCTCCTTAGGAGATAATTCAAAAGAAAAGCTATGTGTCCAGATTTTTCAAATAAGATTATCTAATAGACTGTCATAAGACTTTGTGTCCTTTTTAACATTTAACATTTAATCCCCTACTGCTTCAGTGAGGATAGAGAATACATTCTTACCATAGTTGCAAATGATTCAGAACTGGGGAGGATGATAAGATGAGTCTGTCACATTTCTTCTGTTGTCATATTATTTGCTAGGTGTCAGTCCTCCCCTGTCAGTTGTCAGATGATCACTTTTCAAAAAGAAAGGCTTGTCAACAGAATTGAAATTGAGTGGCAGTGTAGACTAAATCATTGTGTATAGCCCCCTTTACCTGGCACCATGATTCTTGCTTACCAATGACCACTGAATTAATCTGGTTTCAGGTTTTAGTAATTCATGATTTATTTACCTGCCATTTTTGTCTTTACTTTTCTCTAGAAATGATATTTTTTGGTCTATAGTTTGTAATTTTTCCACACTTCATCTTTTCTCTCACTGCCTGATGATCTAGATACTAATCATCTCATGTTTCGGTTGGCTAGAACAATTTGTTTCCATGAGTAGTTCATGCCAGAAACATTGCTGGTCCAGTAACAACTGCTGAGTGGCTCTTTGTTGCCTCATTCACCAATAGAGTAGTTCCTTGTGTGGTTGCTCACCTTTCTGGAGTATGAGAACTCTTGCCTCTTTTTGTCATGTTCTATGGACCAAAGTATTTTCCAGAGCTCTAATTATCATGGTAAAAGTTCCTTTTGTATCAGCTGCCAGGAGTGATAAAATTTAAAGAAAAAAAAAACCACTTAAATACCGGGGATTCAGAAACTTTCTTTGAACAATTATTTTGTGTATGCATTTTGTATTTAAGTTGTTCTAGTTTTTATTCTTATGTGGTTATTTAACAAGTTCTTTCCCTCTCTTCTATACTTAATATCGTAGGTAGATGATAAAATGCTCAGCTGTCAGGAGGACGTTTGATCTTTAAAAGTATGAGGATCTAGGGATTTCCCTGGCGGTCCAGTGGTTAAGACTCCGCATTTCCACTGCAGGGGGCAGGGTTCGATCCCTGTTTGGGGAACTAAGATCCTGCATGCCATGCAGCGCGGCCAAAAAAAAAAGGTACGGGGCTTCCCTGGTGGCGCAATGGTTGAGAGTCCGCCTGCCGATGCAGGGGATGTGGGTTCGTGCCCCGGTCCGGGAAGATCCCACATGCCACGGAGTGGCTGGGCCCGTGAGCCATGGCCGCTGAGCCTACGCGTCTGGAGCCTGTGCTCTGCAATGGGAGAGGCCACAACAGTGAGAGGCCCGCATACCGCAAAAAAAAAAAAAAAAAAAGTGCGAGGATCTGCAAAAGTTAGTACTCTAGAGTGACATTTTCCGTTTTATATTCTTTGGAATGCCATTCCTGTAACATGTTCCCTACTGCAAACCAACTCTCTCTCAATAGTCCTGATTCGTATATAGTGTTAAAGTTCAAAAAAGTCCTGCAGAAAAAAAACCTGTTAAACATTTTAATCTCGGTATTTCCCGAACTTACTTGACAATGGAACCACTTTAAACAACCAACCAACCTTTGACACTCTGTAGGGCTCTCAAAAAATAATTGGGAAATAACATCCCAGAGAAATTAGTTTAGAGGTCTGTGGACAGCCCTGGAAAGTTTCAAGCATAGTTAAGACTATGAACTTTGTCCTGAAATTGGAGTCTAGTACAGGGGTCGGCAAACTTTTTCTGAAGGCCAGATAGTAAATATTTTCAGCTGTTTGGGTCATATGGTCCCTGTTGAAGCTATTCAACCCTGCTATGAAAGCAGCCATAGACAGTGCTAATATGAGTGAGTATGACTGTGTTCCAATAAGACTACAAAAACAAGCTGCGGACCTGTAGTGTGCTGCCCTCTAGTCTAGCAGGTCAAGGAGAGATGGAAAACATTTTATGATCCTCCTACGCCTGCTCCAGGTTTTTACAATGTGGTTCATTCAGTTTAAGCTGAAGTATTGAAAGGTTTAAGAATTATTGTATGGTTAATGCCTAATTCCTCAAATTACTCATGTTTGAGTAAGGAACTAGAGGGGTTGAATGTAAATTCAGGGTTTACATTTGGAAATTATATACTAGGAATTCTTTTTTAGGGTTTTATGTGGGATTGACTTTTGATCTTCTAGTTCATGTCCATAATACTTTGGGGGAAAGTAAAGGAGATTACTGCATATGGTGTTTTGTTTTGTCTTTTGTAAAATTTGTGTGAATGGCTAGGCAGTACATTATTTTGTTTTTGTAGTTTTTAAAAATATTTATTTCATTTATTTTAATGTTTGGCTGCGTCGGGTCTTAGTTGCAGCACTTGGGCTCTTTGTTGTGGCACGTGGTTTGTTTTTTTTTCTTTCTCTAGTTGTGGTGCGTGGGCTCTGTAGTTTGCGGCATGCGGGCTCTCTGGTTGAGGCACTTGGGCTCAGTAGTTGTGGCGCGTGGGCTTAGTTGCCCCACGGCACATGGGATCTTAGTTTCCCAACCAGGGATAGAACCCACGTCCCCTTCATTGGAAGGCAGATTCTTTACCACTGGACCACGAGGGAAGTCTCTAGGCAGTACATATTTTATCTCAGTGACCTAAATTGTAATTCTACTGTTATTAAAATATCTAATGTTAGTTGGTTAGAAGGCATTAACTTGATAAAGTAGCACAGAGGTATATTGCCTGGGAACTTCCCTGGTGGTGCAGGGGTTAAGAATCCTCCTGCCAATTCAGGGGACACAGGTTCAAACCCTGGTCTGGGAAGATCCCGCATGAGCAACTAAGCCTGTGCACCACAACTACTGAGGCTGCGCTCTAGAGCCCGCGAGCCATAACTACTGAGCCTACGTGCCCTAGAACCCGGGTGCTGCAACTAATGAAGCACACGTGCCTAGAGCCCATGCTCTGCAACAAGAGAAGCCACCGCAATGAGAAACCCGTGCACCACAGCAAAGAGTAGCCCCTGCTCGCCACAACTAGAGAAAGCCCACGTGCAGCAACGAAGACCCAACACAGCCATAAATAATAAATAAATTTATAAAATAATAGTAACCTGCTGGTTAAAAATATTAGCACTCTTGGTATAGGAAATTTTAAAACGTTAATTAAAAATATATAATTATCTCCCATGATGAAACTTTGGGAGATTTAAGCTTCTTTTCCATATTTTTCAAGGTTATTGTGCTAAGCATATATATATATATATATATATATATATATGTATTTTAAATGAGGATAAAATCTTTTTTTTAAGTAATCTTTATGTAACTTTGACTTCATAGCAGTTTCTTTCGAATATTTATTCCAGAGAGTAGCAGACCGACTGTATGGTGTATATAAAGTACATGGGAATTATGGGCGAGTTTTCAGGTAAGCATTATGCAAACTTTTATAATAAACAACAACTAGCTCTAATTAGCTTTTTGCCTAAGAACTATAATTCCTGAAAATATATGATTCTGGAAAGCAAAAGATTATTTTTTAAATGATGTCCTGTAGTAGTCGTCTTCAGACTTTTCACTGTAAAGCCTTTGTTTAAATAAAAAATAATAAGGGAGTCCAGTATATTGAGAAGATAAAAGATAAACTGCTCTGAAGCAGTGAGCGGTGTCTTTTACTTTCTTGGCAGAATGCCCAAGAAGATTCCTTTGGAAATCACTGTCATATAGAGTTAGCGATTTTCTTTTTCTTTTCTTTCTTTGTGTCACTTTATAATTTCTGAAGGCTTTTGCAAGATGGATTTTTCAGTCTTGAGGTAATATTAGTGTAAATTAGAATATTTACTTGTGTAGATAACTTGCATATCTTGGTTATTTTTGAGCTTTTTCTTTTGTGAATTTTTGTGTGTGTTAATTATTTTAGTTGTGACATTTTAGAAGTTAATTATCCAAATCTTCTTGTAAGAAAAATGTCCTTGCTAATGTTCGAAGTCCTTTTGATTGAATTAATCAAAATAATTCATTTAACATATTTGAATAGGTAAGACATTCATATAGCACAAAATTCAACAGGAACAAAAGCTTATATAGTGAAAAGTCTCTTCCCTCCTGCCTGCCAACCACCCCGGTCTCCTCCTCTGAGGCAACTAATAGCAGTTTCTGAGTTACTTGTGTATCCTTCTAGTAACATGTAGCACCATAAATGTATATATTAACACACAAACAAATTCATTTCTCCCTCCCCCCTTTCTAAAAAAATATTTATTTTTCGGCTGCATCGGGTCTTAGTTGTGGCACACGGGATCTTTCATTGCGGCGTGCGGGCTTCTCTCTCTAGTTGTGGCATGCGGGCTTCTCTCTAGTTGTGGCGCACAGGCTCCAGAGCGTGTGGGCTCTGTAGTTGTGGCGCGTGGGCTCAGTAGTTGCAGCGGACGGGCTCAGTTGCCCCTTGGTATGTGGGATCTTAATTCCCTGACCAGGGATTGAGCAGGTGTCCCCTGCATTGCAAGACGGATTCTTAACCACTGGACCACCAGAGAAGTCCCCCCCCACCCCCATTTTTTTAAACATGGAAAGGGAGCATGTTTTATACATTGCTATGTTCCCTTGTTTTACTTTGTTTTTTTCTTACTTAAAAACAGCTCTCAAATATATATTGTTATCAGTAAATAACTGTATGGGGCTTTTTTTTTTTTTTTTTTTTTTTGGCTGCATTGGATCTTCATTGCTATGTGCGGCCTTTCTCTAGTTGCGGTGAGCCGGGGCTACTCTTCGTTGTGGTGCGTGGGCTTCTCACTGTGGTGGCTTCTCTTGTTGAGGAGCACGGGCTCTAGGTGTGTGGGCTTCAGTAGTTGCAGCACGTGGGCTCAGTAGTTGTGGCTCATGGGCTCTAGAGCGCGGGCTCAGTAGTTGTGGCTCATGGGCTCTAGAGCGCGGGCTCAGTAGTTGTGGCTCATGGTCTCTAGAGAGCAGGCACAGTAGTTGTGGCACATGGGCTTAGTTGTTCCAGGGCTCGAACCCGTGTCCCCTGCATTGGCAGGTGGATTCTTAACCACCGCACTTCCAGCGAAGCCCTTCTGGTGGTTTTTGATATACAGAAATACTCAATTTGTTAAATTCAGTTAACATGTAAGTGGTTAGATTTTCTCCTTTATAAAGTAATAGCCTCTGAGTTTTGTGTATATCTTAATAAGGTCTTCCCCACTATGGATTATAAAAAAATAGATTTTTCATTTCTTCTACATTTTTGTGGTTTTATAAATTTTTGATTCATATGAAATTTATTTGAATGTCAGGTGCGAGATATGGCTACATATTTACTTAATTTGAGTAACAGGTTATCTATATGTCTTGGTTGATCAAATGGAAGATGGGACAATATCAGCATTATATGATGTTTTTAATGAAGAGAAGCATATTAATATTGTAAACATGTAGACTCTTCATAACTACGATAGGAGTATATGTCTAAACAGGAATAATGGGAAGAAAGGCAAATTCAAGTCAGCTGCATGAAGAGCGACTTACCTGCTTTTAGATCTATGCGTGAGTCAGCCCTGATTTTAAGAATACTACCCAAACTGGAACTCTAGTTAAGCTTGGGAATATGCTCATATGATAATTAACGTAAATCAGACACTCTCAAAAGTAGTACATTTATTGTAAATAATAAATGGACTTGTGTTAATTTGAGAGGCAAGTGGATGAAAGGTCACCTGGCTGAATCAAATTGTAAAGAAAATTATTTGCATTAATGTCTCATGATAAATACTATACAGATTCGCCTTTCTGCTAACTCAGTAAATTAACAGAAAGCCATTTTACATCTAAAATATTTCATAAAAAGTGAGCCAAGGAGACCACAGGTGGTTGAAGTAATTTAAGGTGATCAAGAGCCTGAACCAGAGCAATTGCCAGTAGGGACTATTAAGGAGATATAAATGACAAGATTTATCAATTGATTCTTTCAGTCATTCAGCACACATTTGCTGAGCTCCTGCTACCGTGGTAGGTGCTAAAGATACCAAAATTTAATTTGCAGGCAGCTGAATGATTAGGAGGTTTGTGATAGAGAATGTAGGAAAGATAACAGGTTTGAGGAATGAATTAAAGTGTTCTGTTTTGAATAGATTGCATTTGATTTAAAGATTTTTATTAAGCAATTGGAAATTTGGATCTGCAGTGTAAGAGGCTGGTGAGAATATGAGTTGTATATAAAAGTTACATCCTAATAGAATGATATTTAATGTAGGGTTAAGGTGATAATGTTAGAGGGTTAGGGTAAGTCTGTGAGAGACTCAAGGGCGGAACCTTGGGGAATATCTGTGTTCAGGGGTCAGGCAAAGAAAAAGAACGTGAGGGAGACATTGGGAAATTGATGAGGAGTGCGCAGTGTCAAGCAAGTGAAGGGAGCACTTCAAGAAGTTGGAGTTATACTGTAGAGGAATTGAATTTAGTCGAAAGGAGGGGAAATGGGTGGGTAAATCTTCGGTGTTAATTTGGAGAGCGGTTTGGTTTGAGTGATATAATGCAGTGGTCCTAGGGATGACAGGAAAGGGTTAAGGAAGGAAAGACAGCAAGTTACTGATAAGTCTGTTAAGAAAAGTCTCTGAGGTTATTCTTGAAGGGGTATAGGGCCTCTTTGTGGGGTGGTGGTGGCTTTTTGCAGGGGGAGCAAGGGTAGGAGGGTGGATGGGAGAGAAGATAGAGAGGAAGGCACAGAGCTGTCTTAAAGGAGAGGAGCAGTATGTGGCAGGAGGCCACTTTAGCTGGCCCCTGTCTTAGTAAAGCAGGTGTCTCTGCTGAGAACAGGTGGGGTGATTCTGTGGTTAGGAAGCTTGAGGGGAGTGATATAGGGCAGTCTGTCTCAAACTAATGGAGAAGAGAGTTCTTAAACTGATCCTACTGCATATCCTCCTTTATCTCCCCTTACCAGCTCCCTGGGGGATTGGCTGGAAGCAGCTGTGGCAAGTGCAGAATCTCTTTGAAGACTTGAGTTCTGTCAGTTTATTCAAATTTTACATTTTACTCTGTAGAGCATCCATGGTTATTTAAGCATATATGTAACTTTCCCTGCCTCAAACTTAAAATTCGTTCTTCAGAAAAACTGTGCCATGCTTAGATGGCTTCAGATATCCAAGATGAAGTATCCCAGTTTGAGAAGCACTGATGAGGGTATCATTTAGGAATGTGGGAAAGGATTGCAGAGCAGTACCAATTGGTAATGAGTGTTTTTTATCTTTTCTTTTTGTTTCCTTTTTATTTTTTCATTACTCTTATGGTCAGTGGCACTACACTGACCATAAGAGTAATGAAAAAATCCAGGGAATTCCCTGGTGGTCCAGTGGTTAGCACTCGCATTTTCACTGCCGGGGCCTGGAGATTAAGATCCCGCAAGCCTCGCGGCGCAGCCAAAATAAAAAGAGTAATGAAAAAATCCAGAGCTTGAGAGTCACATAACTGGAAAAAAGTTTAATGTGTTTCTGTTCTTTGGTTTGGAATTTGAGAGAGGAAGAAATATAAAGCTGATTTCATCAGCTTTGTCTCTTAATTTAAATGTTTTCTATATATATCCAATCACTTTGTAAAATTATGCCTTTTTGCTAAATGAGAGATTGAAGTGAGAGAATGGATTAAGAAAATAATTGAGCTATGAGTGGAAAAAGACTGTCAAAGAGGGAAGGAAAGGTGACAAGACTTAAACTTACTTGTAAGTAAGAAATGAGCAGGAATTAGATGCACAGAGAAGAAACAGGGAAGATTTTTGTAATATGTTCATGTTGCGTGTTGCTGGGTTTTTTTGTTTTTGTTTTTGTTTTTTAAACTATGGGAGTTCATTTTTTGCTCTTCTTGAGTTCCTAGGTTTTTTGCAGCTTCCTCCTGGATATAGCACCTGATTCAATTTAGGACAGGCCAAAGGGTCATTCCATGTAGGTGCTTATAGGACTTGTCTATATGTTCACTAGTTTCAGGAACTTTTAAGATCTGCCTGTCAAGAATTGGACCAAACACTGTTGACTTGAAACAAATAGACTGCCAGATATTTCTCCAGCAAAGATTAAAAGAGAATTGCAGTTCCAGGCTGCAACAATGGCAAGGCTCATGCAAGTTCCCACAGGGCAGGGGAAGGAGAAGGCTTTCATAGAGAGGAAAAGGAAGTTGGGAGGGCTAGAGTAAACAAAGAGTCTCCGTGGCTTTTCATTGGCTGAGACCTGGCCAGGAAAGAAGAGGAATCTTTCTTCTTCTTGGGCTCTGCTGTGGACACAGGGCATGAGAGCTCCCCCTTTTAGTCTTCCAACTCTATTTAATTGAGGTTTCTGTTTATTTTTTATAATACACAGGCAGGATTCACTCTGCAAAAGACTTAGAAAAAAGAGTTTTAAGTGCCAGTAACTAAAGTTTTTGAAGCAAATGAAAGCTGTCAGGAGCTAA